CACCCGCTCCACCTTCCTGCTCAATACATTGGCCACGACAGTTGCTCTTTTGGGCTTGCACTCCATTACCATATCAAACTCAGCCAGGAAGTCCTACCATCGCACTTGCTTTGGGGAGAGTTTCTTTTGAGTTTGGAAGTAACTCAAAGCGATGTTGTTCGTCCTCAGCACAAATCACGATCCGAGAAGATAGTGTCGCCAAACTCGTAGACAGTAGACCACCGTTGTCATCTCCTTCTCGTGCATCGGATACCGTCGCTTAGTCTCGTTGAGCTTGCGGCTCTCGTAGGCCACCAAGTGACCCTCCTACATGAGTACTCCCCCAATAACGAAGTCTGAAGCATTTGTATGGACTTCGAAGGGCTCCCCTTACTCCGACAATTTGAGCATCGGTTCTATAGGGAAATCTAGGGGCGACATCACATGCGCAATAGAAGAACAGAAAACAAAATCCCCAAATTCCCAAAGATATGTTCGTCGCCGTGCGAAGATTGGTGCGTAAAATCCGTAAAACTGAAAACCAAGCGTGAGATAGTTGTATTACCTAGGGAGATCGTATATCCCTGAATCCCTGCAGATCTGTAGGAGAGGATGAAGGAGGTCAAGCATTCTCTCTAGCGGTGATCCATGTAGTAGGGCTGCGACGATGCCCCTCAAATTTCTAGACCTGTTATCTAAGGAGGAGAAGAAGAGAGGAGAATAGGAGGTGGCAACCAAGAAAACCTTTGGCCTATAGGTGTTTGGTTCCCTCCTATTTATAGAGGCCCCCTATCAACTTAACCCTTATGGATCCTACCCTATTGGGTATTGGATCTCCATCCAACTACCCAAACCTCTTAGATTAGTAGATCTCTATCCAATAATCTCTTATTGGCTCTTATTGGATCTCATTCACATGATCCAATAATTCAAGGGCTTATTGGATATTCAATAAGATAGGGGGTCCAGCGGATATCTCATATCCGAATCTCTACTCGTCGTAATGCCTACCATATGTGTATGACCCTCTAGGTCCAGTATCGAGCTGGGTATGAGTTATACTTGTCAGAACTCTTTCTAGCTTAGTGACTCATCGACTACGGACGTACTAGGCCACTACGTCGCAGTCCCCAGACGATACAGGGGAATCCAATCCTTTGGACCTATTTGTCCTTAGTTATCGTGTATCTATAGTCCCTTATACATCTAATACCCTAGATATCATATACTGAGCATGGTATTGTCAGGCCCATACAATTTTTATTCGAGTCTCACTCTAATCGGATTCTCCCGGAGAACTCTTTCTCTCTCAATCCGAATGACCCTAGCCAGGGATTTGTCTGAGCAAGAACACATGAAATATTTTTCTCATGACATTGAGAGCGGATGATCCTCTATCGACATTCAATAGCTCTCGTAAGGTTGGCTACCACTCCCGATGATCGGTTGTGCTAGATCTGAAACCTCCAGACCTATAAGTCCGGTATCAAAGAGTGGAGTACTAATAGAGGACATCCTTGGTGCCTCAAGTCTAAGGACCAAATACACCACTGGGACGACGGAATCGCTGTCTGACAATATGGCATCATCAACCATCCAGCATTCCATGAGCAGATCAATTAGTGAACTTATTCTCCAATGAGCACCTGCATTGCATCCCTAGTGTCCCTACACGAGCAGCTATGAGACCAGCTGCATCCATCATATGGACGGGTATACAGCACACCAGTCTGTTTGGTTATCTCGATATCCCTCTCGAGTAACCTATGACCGAGATTATTTAGGATGAGCGGGATGGGATACTTGTTCTTCACTGTCACTTTGTTGAGGGCTCGATAGTCGACGTATAGTCGGAGGCTCCCATCTTGTTTCTTTTGGAAGTGGACTGGAGCTTCGAATGATGCTTTGAAACTACGGATGAGACCATCACTTAGCAGTTCGTCTAACTGCTTTCTGAGCTCTGCCAATTCTGGAGAGGACATGTGATATGGTGGTCTCACTGGAGGCTTTACTCCCGGCTCCAGCTCAATATGATGATCCATGCCTCTGCGTGGCAGCACAGTTTTCAGCAACTCGGGTGGCATAATGTTTATGAACTCCTTCAGAACGTTCGCCACCACAACAGGTTCATAAATGGCCTCCCCATCGAGACTTAGGGAGTTTAGGAACGACATTGGCGCCAACTTCGTCGCTTGCATGAACTTTATTTCGAGAATCACTTGGAAGTCGTCTAGTGGCATCATCATCATGCTTGTGCTCCCGCTCCACATTCCGATCTTGATGGGACTCCCTTTGCTAGCCCGAAGATTCGTTTGGCCTCCAAGTTCATCGCCTTCATCCGACTTGGGTTCTTCTTCAAGATTAGCCCAAGTCGCTTTGCTTCTTGGTCGACAATAAAGTTGTGGGTAGCGCCTGTGTCCACCATTGCATGGATTGTTTGGCCATTGAGCTTGATATCCATGTACATCAGCTCGCTGCTCCTTGCTTTCTGTGGCTTTGCCTTCATGTTCTCCCCCACTTGACCTCACAAGATATTCAACAAACGTATTGCTCTCATCCGGGGTCCTTGCGACTCCTCATCGTCATTGCTGGATTCCGAATTACTTGAACTAAGAGCGACGACCTTGCCCTTCTCCGATTTGGGGGGGTGGATTGAACCTGTTAAGGTGTTGAGTATTTGTTTCTATGGACACTCTCTCACAATGTGCTGTCCTTTGCATAAGAAGCATCCGTCAGGTTTTAGGGCCTTGGTTTTTGAGTTTGACCCTTTGTGGGAATTCTTCTTCCTCTGTTCGCCCTCGGACTCCCTCCCTCGAAAATATTTCGGTGGGCAATCTTCTGAAGGTTGTTTCTCTTTCCCCAAATCCTCTGAGGAAACAAAGTCATTGAGCCTTTCCACGGCCGTAATTGTCTCGATCACATCGGTGACATTCCTTCGATGCAATTCCTGTTGTGCCCACGACTTTATGCCATCGAGGAAGCTGAACAACTTATCCTTTTTGGACATGCCCTGTATGTCCAGCATTAGTGCGGAAAATTGCTTCACGTAGTCCCGAATGGAAGTGCTTTAGCGGAGTTGTTTCAGCTTTCTCCTTGCAACGAACTCTGTATTCTTGGGTAGGAACTGAGTTCTCATCTCCCACTTTAAGTCCTCTTATGTGTCAACTCGACACCGACCTTGTTGGATCTCCTCCCAACGGGTTTCCCACCAAAGTTTTGCATCCTCATTTAGATACATGGTTGCTGTTGAAACTTTGGCATATTTAGAATTGGGCCTTATAGCCTGAAAATACTGCTCCATGTCAAACAAGAAATTCTCTAGCTCCTTTGCGTCCTTGGCATCCCCGTAGCAATGAGGCTCAGGTGCCTCAAGTTTTGTGGCGGCGTAACACCGATGTTGCTCCCCCCTGCATTTAGGGCCCTTGTGAGCAATGTTACTCTGGAAGTGAGTTCCGCCATGACTTCGTGCAGATGTTGCACAGAGTCTTTGGTGTCTTCCGTCAGTCAATCGATTAGGAACTCAACCTTGTCGATTTGTGAGTCTCTCCTTGTGGCTCTTTTTCCCAGTTGGCGCTCCAGATTGCGCCTCCTCCGCTCGCGTAGAGTAGCCAACTTCTCGCTCGTCATGTTCCAACAGCATGAGAGTGAGTCTGCACTTGCAGCCCACCTGTGGCTGCTTGGGGCAATGGTCCGACTTGCCCCGTCTTGCTCGATTCGCCACAATGCTTTGCTATGGCGAGATTGTGAAGTTTCTTCGCTGTTTGCTCGAATTGTTTGCCCGCTCTGATACCACAATGTCACAGATTTAGTTGGAATTGCCTAAGTCGTGAGGCACCTTTACGACAATTGTCACGCACTTAGTTGGAGTTGCCACGAAGTACCCTTGCGCCAACTTCTCATACTTAGCTGGGATTGCCTAAGCCATGAGGTGCCCTTGCGATATATGTGTCCGTAAAGGGTCAACTTAGTTGCAACCTCGTGCAGATCCTAAAGGACCTGTAAAATAGCAAGTTGATTAGTTTGAAAACGAGTTGCGGACAAGTCCCGACGTCTCGCAAAGAGAGAAGCTTTATGAGCAATTCAGCATGTATCTTTAGTGCAAGAGAGAAAAGAGAGGAAGGAGAAAAAAAGGACCTTAGAAGGTTGAACGAACAGTTGCAAGTCCGTAAACAACTGCTCACCGGTGTCGGGCGCGAAGGCAAGTTCCCTTTGGTTAAAAGAATAAACAAGAGTAGCTTAGAAAGATATTATCAAGCTAAAATGGAAGAAAAAGGAGTTGAGATAGGGGATTAGGTAGATGTTGATGATTAGATTCACTTTAAGTAGAAGAAGGGGGATATAGGATACATCTGGGGTTGAAAAGTTTAATGTCTATTCTTTTATATAAAATGGTACAATTTAAGATGCTACTCTCTATATCCGCTGGGCCTAAATTTTAGTTGACAGAGGATAGGACTCTATAATATTTCAATTTATCATAGTGCATCACTATTGTGGTTATAGTGTCTTGAATGCCAATGTTAGTGCTCCAAAACTTGCCACCATACTCATGACATGTATTTAACATTTGGGGTGTGAAAAGTTTTTGTCTATTCTTTTATAGAAAATGCTACAATTTAAGATGCTACTCTCTATATACACAGCCTAAATTTTAGTTGACAGAGGATAAGACTTTAATATCTCAAGTTATCCTAGTGTATCACAGGTGACATGTGAACCATGCAAACATGCATGCCATGGAGAAAGAATGGCAGTTGTTTGATCTTTTTGTCTCTGATATTTAATTTTGATCCCTGTAAGAATACATTTGAAGTAAACAGACATGTAAAAATCCTGGATATGTTTGTTTCAGTTTCATATTTGGTGTTTGTGTCAAATGAATACAAATGGATTCTATATTATCCCAGTATGAGAATGAAATAAGTTTGTCTTCTTTCTTAAAATTTCATTTAAGGCCTTTTATGTTAATTCTTACTTGATTAGTTTGTTCAATTTTATCAGGCTAATAAAATTTTATATAGGACAAAGATGTTGACATTATCGTGCATCACATTAATGGTGTTGCTGAGACTTTCTTTAGAAGGTAAAGTACCAAACTTCCTCGTGACTGAAAATTGTATTGATTAATGTTAAAGAAATAGCCTCTCTAGTCATAGGTAGCCACATGCATTGATTCACCTAATTTTACTTGGAAGTGATTTGTACTGTTTTGTTTTCTTATTATTGCAAATTATTGTTAAATAACATAGAAATTCTGATTTTCTAAATTCTTGTTATGGGGCCTTTTAGCCCTTGACCCATTTTTCTTCTGTTGGCATCCCCAAATCTGGCTCTTCTAATGGATCTTGCGTAGACCTTGAAGCCCATGTCTTGCTCATCTTGGTTAGATCAAGTAAAATTTGGCTAATCAATGCCCATTTGTGCCTTTTACGCACATGCTCAACTACATCATTCACCTTTCGTCGAGCAATCGAACATTGCTTTTCTTTTTCTTTCATGAAAATTGTCACTCAATCATGGATGGTTTGTAGGGAGGCAAAGATTTGGTATAGTAGATGCAAAGTTAAATATCTAATGTTTGTGTGTTTAATTTTTCTATGCTACGAAGATAAAATAAACATTGAAATTAGCGTTTCTTTTGTTATCAAATTATGAAGTTAGATTCCTTCTATTTTTGTCATGTTATGTTGAAGGTCTGCAAACATACTAATCATGATCAGAAATTACTGTTGCAGACAACAAAGGGAGGATAACAAGGCCATGGCTGAGCAAAAACGCACCGAGTTCAGGACTTTGCTATCTGAAGCTGCACGACCATTTCTTGCTGGATACACCAAGAGCTTCATCGACGAGCTAGAGTTGTTCCTGGTTTCAGGTTTAAACATGGAGGCATATGATAGATTTTGCATGCAGCGAATGGGTGAGCTTTCATCTGGTGAAGCAAGTGCAGATGACAGAGAAACGTATGATCAGACTCTTCAGGGTCCTTTCTTGCAACTTTTCAACGAGGAATTAGGAGAATCTGAATAATATCATTATGATTAACGATGATTAATACAGTTTACCATGTTTAAAATCGAAAATCCAGTGTTTCATAACGGCAAAAACTCCTCATGTATATCTGTCCAGCTCTCCCAGGAATAGCAGCAGTTGCAAATATAGCCATTTATCATTTGGTAGGCTTGCTGGCAGTGGAGACGACTATAATGTGAATCTTGTGATACAAATTATATTGTCAAAAGGCTGTTGATTTATAAAATTCTTTTAGTTACTTGGAAGGGAGATGGTTTATGTGGCAAACAGCTTGACAAATCTGTTCTTGTTGAGTAAATCATTCGTGTGTGGATTGTAGTCAGTTGGATGCATGTCATGGTTTCAAATTTGGGTTGTAGTCAACTGGAATGGCATTATTACTATTTGGGTTCATAAAAACTGAGATCTGATGGGGTAGATGAAATCGAAAAGGTGTCATCTTACCATTGTGTGTATTAATCATTTTTGATAGATTGTTTTTTTAATAGAGATATTAAAGTTAAGCTCTTATATTGACAATCTGTATTTATCGATCCTTATCGACGTATGAAAAGTTCAGCTCCTATTGGATTCGGGTTGACAAATACAGATCCTGATCGACGTATGAAAAGTTCAGTTCCTATTGGATTCGTGTTGACACTAGCGAATCGAATTCCGCCGACGTCCCCATCGTGCAGTGCGCTGTTGTATCAAATGGCACCATCCACGAGAAATCGAGACGAACGGTTTTGATCGGACACGGTTCCATCCTGCGGTTTACGCTTTCCAGACGACTCCTATATACATATGATACCCGTCCGATTAGGGCGATTCCTCTTCGCTATCGCTCGCCGCCGGGGCTGCTCACTTCCGCCTCTCTTGTGGCCACCGTTTCCGTAGGGTTTTCAAGGTCTCCCTACGCTTTCAGCAGGATGGTAAGTCCCTAATGTCTGTGCGGATTTCGGTATTTTATCTCGTCTGATGCTAATTCGTTCCCGATTCTTTAGATCTTCTACTTTCTTTGTTCTTTATGTTGCTTTTGTGTGTCTGTGTTTGTGCCAACAAAAGGTGCTTCCGAACGACATCGATCTGTTGAACCCGCCGGCTGAGCTCGAGAAAAAGAGGCACAAGCTTAAGCGTCTCGTGCAGTCGCCCAATTCCTTCTTCATGGTGATTATCTACTGTAACATTGTGTTTATTGCCTTTGATTGTTTCAACCCTGTAACGATGTCCGTCTTGGTGTTGGTTTTCCTTTTTTGTCTCTAGGATGTGAAGTGCCAAGGCTGCTTCAACATGTAAGGCTTCTTTTCCATCCTGTAATTTTCATTCATTCTAATTCGAAGATACAAATTTTATTCGTGTTCTTTGCGATTCTTGATTGCCGTCGCGATGGTGTTCTGCAGCACTACGGTGTTCAGCCACTCGCAGACCGTGGTGGTCTGCGGAAACTGCCAGACGGTTCTCTGTCAGCCGACCGGAGGCCGTGCGAGGCTCACCGAGGGATGCTCGTTCAGGCGCAAGGGAGATTGATTTGGTATTGTGGTTCTTCATTCACACCGCTCTCCTATTGATCATCCGTAAGGGACACGAGTCTTATGAATTCAGATGCTACTGCGTCTGTATTCTATTTAGTTTTGGGACACGATTGAGTATGTTGCATTTTGTTATTGGTGATACTTTCAGTTAGACATTTGCTAATCCGCATTTAAATTCAATTTCATCTTTTGCACTTGGTTCTAATTCCATCATGAGTATTAGTCTTAGATATTGGTAACAGTAATTTCTGGAGTTTTGTAAGATGATTGAGTATGTTGCATTTTGTTATTGTTGATCCTTTCATGCTGACATCTTCTGATCCACATTTTAATTCAGTTTCATCTTTTGCACTTGGTTCTAATTCCATTATGAGGATTAGTCTTAGATATCGGTTACAGTAATTTCTGGGGTTTGGGGACATGATCGAGTACGTTGTGTTTTGTTGTTGGTGATCCTTTCAAGCTGACATTTGCTAATCTGCATTTAAATTCGGTTTCATCTTTTGCACTTGGTTCTAATTCCAGTACGAGGATTAGTATTAGATATGGGTAGCAGGAGTTTCTGAAGTTTTAGGACATGATTGAGTATGTTGCGTTTTGATATTGGTGATCCTTTCAAGTTGACATTTGCTAATCTGCATTTAATTTCAGTTGGATCTTTTGCATTTGGTTCTAATTCCATTATGAGGATCGGTATCGGATATTGGTTAGAGTAATTTCTGGAGTTTGGGGACATCATCGAGTATGTTGAGTTTTGTTATTGGTGGTCCTTTCAATTTGGCATTTGCTAATCCACATTTAAATCGGTTTCATCTTTTGTGCTTGGTTCTAATTCCATTATGAGGATTAGTCTTAGATATCGGTTACAGTAATTTCTGGAGTTTGGGGACATGATCGAGTATGTTGTGTTTTGTTGTTGGTGGTCCTTTCAATTTGACATTTGCTAATCCACATTTAAATTCAGTTTCATCTTTTGTGCTTGGTTCTAATTCCATTATGAGGATTAGTCTTAGATATTGGTTACAGTAATTACTGGAGTTTTGGGACATGATTGAGTGTGTTGCATTTTGTTATTGGTGATCCTTTCAAGGAGACATTTGCTAATCTGCATTTAAATTCAGTTTGTTCTTTTGCGCTTGGTTCTAATTCCATTACGAGGATTAGTGCTAGATATTGGTAACAGTAATTTCTGGATTTTTGGGACATGATTGAGTATGTTGCATTTTGTTATTGGTGATCCTTTCAAGTTGACATTTGCTAACCCACGTTTAAATTCGGTTTCATCTTTTACCCTTGGTTCTAATTTCATTGTGAGGATTAATCTTAAATATTCGCAACTGTAATTTCTGCATCAAGTCCTTGTTCTACTTAAGAGTGGAGTTGGACGAAATAGTTTCTTTAACCTCTCTCACATGGTGTATGGAATTGTTTATATATCTTGGAAGTGAAAAAATCAGGGAGACTGATTGATTTACAACTTGGTGTAAATGTGGATTATTTAATTTGGCCCTTTTGTTGTGGAATCTTTGGTTAGAATGTTTCTAATGTGTGTATATAAGTGTATATAAGTGTGTGTGCGTGTGAAATCCCAGAGAGCAATTTCACAGTAGAGTTCACTAGGATCGATGTGGATCATTAACCCAAGCCATCGTGAGGACCGTTCAATCCATACGAGAACCAAACGAAACTGGTGGTGTCCAACGCGTTGCGGTGGTGGACTCGGCGAACTGGTGGAGCCGAACTGCCCCCGTTACCTGTCCTGGATCACGGCGCCTGTTCGAGCTACCATGCCCCTCGCACGCAGCCGGTGTGCATCCGCCACGCGTCTCCTCGTTACCGTTTGCTTTATTAACCCTGACCCGAACGCTTCGTGCACCGCATTGGTTCCTTCAAAAAGCTATCGTCATCATCTTCGATCATGGCTTCGATGTCGGCGATGGGTTCTCCGTTGCCCATAAGCCATCTCCCCTCGTTGCTCCACCTTGTTATGATGGTCTGCTTTGTGATCTCTGTAGTTTTATTGGACGTCGGTTGCTCGTCAAATGGGATCGGGACGACGCCTGTCGACAATGACCATCCCCAAGATGAAGCCCATGTCACCTGCAACTGCTGCTAGTATGTCAGATCATCATGGAAGTAAGCCCAGGTCTGATTGATCTCCACGACAACGTCGTAACCTACAAATCCTATATGCATCGTCTATTTGTTTGACCGAATGGATTCATCAGGGTCGAAGGCCGAGTTCACGCCGATCGCGGTGGTGTTTGGGTTGGTAGTGGTGGCGCTGTCCATCGGCGCCCACACCGCGAAGCAGCAACTGGTGCACGCCCAGCGTTTGGGTGAGCAAGAAGAAGCGGGAGTCCATCCCGGAGGTGGAGATGCCGGATCAGGTGGTGGGCGAGGCCGGCCGCTTCGTCAACAAGTCCTTCCTCCGGAAGGTGGCTCACATCCAAGACTTGGACGCCGCCCGATCCGGCACCTCCGACCCTTTTTACACGTATGATCGCCTTCTTTTCCTTCGTTTCCTCCCTCTTACTTACTGTATGTGTCTCCCTCGCCCTCATCCTCCTCTTTTCGGTGCAGGCCACGAGCTACGGAGAGCTTAAAGTCTCTTGGGGTTAATCCACGGGGCCATTGAGCTCATACTCTTATCTTATGCTTCTTCTGCATTATGGATGTATGCATCGGCCCATCTATTTGTGTCTCCTTGGCAAGTAGAGAGAGGCTCTGTTTCTTTCCTTCTGTTGTCCTTGAAATAACTCGATCCGACTCAACCGTGAATGGTTGTATATTGATTTCAAATTGAAATACAATAATTTCCGTTTTTTTACGTTTATTTTATTTTATTTTAAATATGAGAAGACTACATCCATGGCCGAATACATTTAGATGCGCATGGCCGTGTTCATTGCGAACAGGGTTTGTTCTTCCCTCGATGTTTATAGCAGCGATGTTCACATCTTTTAAATCCACTGAACGGCCGCCCAATTTTTAAGTACAAGTATCTACGATGAATAGAGAGAACCATTCAAATCGCATGTGCTTGTCTTAGTTTTCTCATCGCTTCTATCTCTCGTGCTATTGTCATCACTCTCACAAATAACTAATTCTCTTATCTCTCGTGCTCTTGTCATTACCGTCACAAACAACTAAGTGGGTATATAAAAGATAATTAGTTATCTTTAATATTTTGATCGTTATATTTTCAAAAATTATATGAAGATTCATATATTTAAGAAAATAGAACATTAATATATTGTTCCAATAAAATCTCTTTTTTATTTATTTTTAATATAATAAAATTATCTTTTTAATGGATCTAAATATTTTATTTGTATAAGTATAAAGATCTCAATATAATTTTTAAAAATGTAAGGATCGAAATGTTAAATGAAAATAATTACATATGATACTATATAATTAGTCAAGCCCACTGGATGACCAAAGCAAAGCACTATTAACAAAAATTTATATTTTTTGGGTGGAAGGTTAAAAGTAGTCACTCTAAGACTAGCATTGATGTTGATTATGGTGGCACTCGTCCTTTCGATCTCGACTCACAAGTCCAAAGGCAAAAGGTTATTATCATGTGTTGTGCATGATATTATCACCTTCGGAGCGTGGCAAATGCCTCACGCGTTGTGAGATCGAGCCAAGGCAGAAAAATATGATAGATAATTGAGGTTTATATTTAATAAAAAATATTATTTTGTTTTTTAATGATTGTATGAAGTTTTTTCTTTCATTTTCATCAAAAAAAAAAAAAAGATTGAAGCCGGAAACGAAATGTCCAACGATTACTTCGCCAACTCAGCATCCTCACGGTTCGGAGGTTGTTAAGGTTTGGAACCGCCTTTCTTTTGCTCACTCCCCCTTTTGCTTTCTGGTTCCTGAAACCGGCGGGGAAGAACAGCAGGCGACATGGCGCAAGAGGCCGAGGCGATCACGAACAAGCGAAAGGCCGGAAACGACTTCGTCGGCGATGGAAGCGGCGACGGGGACGGCGCCGAAGGTGATTTGCCGGCGATGCCGGAGGTGCCCTCCTTGGGGGTCGATCCCAAATCGTCGGCCGAGGCCCCCGGTTCCTACCCTGATCTTGTTGATGTCTATATTGCCAGCTTGTCTGATGGTCGGTACGGCGACTCCAAGCACCGGTTTGGATATAAGGTGAGGAATCGCCCTACCATTTTGGATCCTAGTTCATTTCGTCTTTTATCTTTGGAGGGACCTGACGCAGCATTTTTTCGGCATCTGCGACGACGTGGCCATCAAGAACCCTTGCGTTGGAGACAAGGTGAGCGAATCGCCCTGCTCTTTTGGATCTTAGCTTCTTTCATCTCTTATCTTTGAATTTCTTCATGTCGATGTTGCACATTTCCCGAATTCTTGGAAGAGTATTTTGCCCAACTTAGTAAGTAAAACCAATAAAGAGAGTTCGCATAGAATTCGAGATCAATTCTGAATCCCATGATATATCTCCCTTCTGCGTCATATCATGTTCATTTTCCTCGAAATGTTAGGCTACTATTTTTCCTTTTCTTTACACTTCCAGTATCCTTTCTTTTTCCATTGTATTGAAAATGAACAAAACAATACAATAATGATGCCAAACAACAAAAACAATGGTTATAATGGCTAGTGAACGTAACAGTAGCAGTATTTTCTCTATCTCAACCATTGTCATAAGTTTCCGTTTCGTTTCTCTTTCACGTCAACTTTCTATTTTTTGCTATTCTTCCCTTCCACTATTCTCCTCTTCTTTAGTCGATTAAATTTTCTAGAATTAGATAGAATTGACTAATTCTGGCTGAGTTCAATTTTTTTTTTGTTGCTAATTTTGATCATTTTTTTACTATAAGACGGAAAGTCCTTTTGAATTTGTATCTCATGTGTTTAACTTTTAGCTAACTGCCATCATTGATTAATGAGCCTACATGACCCATGTCTTGCTTTGTCAAGCACACTGTAGTAGCAGGAGTGATGGTTAACGTGAGTTGTTTGGATCAGAGCTTTGATGTTGAGGCTTGCCTCCGACCGGGCTCCAAAGTCAATGTCTGACCTGCAAGATGATCCAAGAATTGGAGCCAATGGGTACGATGTGCAGTTAAGAGCAATAACTGCAAGGTTATTGTTGAGAAATAAATGTTCAAAATTTAGTCGGTGCCAGTGTGCCAGAGGTATCAGGGTCTGTATGATTGGAGTGAGGACTGGTCTCTATGGCCGCCACTAGAATTTGTGATCAAAGAGTTGTTTGGCAGTTGGCCTTTAGTGACATATATCGACAGCGCACTGGGTATGTAATCGTTTTTATTGCTGACTTCGGGTAGATGGCTCATGACCCCTTCTTTTGCCATCAGTGCCAGTCTTAAATAAGAATATAAATCAAGTGCATTGTACCAAAGTTGGTCTATAACACAAGCTATGTTTTTTAACCATATCCTTGCCGTCTTGTATTATACAACTTATGGGGGTTCATTGTATCAGTGTCTATTATATGTTGTCTGTGTGTCCATATCTCCTTCCATGCATTGAACATTTAAAGACATGGCAAAATGTTTGTACACAATTTTAGGACTTGAAATTGCATTTCACCGGTCAGCAACTGTTCAGAAGTTAAAATGTTATGTCATGACTTCACTAAGCTGATGTTTTCACTGTAAGTACTATAAAAAAATTTGTAACAAATTATACAATGTGGTCATGTAAAAACAATACTTTTCTTCTTCTGACTGTGCAGGAACCTCTTTCCTTCTTAGCTGCTGAGATTCGGTCAGGCGACCACATCCTTCAGGAAAAGATCAAGGTACATTTTGGTGGGGTGACACACAGACAGTTGCTGCTGATCTATTCATTATGCTTGTTGATAGTTTCTGAGCATTACACTGTTTTCTATTTTGTTTGTATCCATATGTTATTTAACTTGCAGCTCCTTAACAATAAATATGCCGCACTGAGGCGAATACGGGGTGATGGAAATTGTTTCTATCGATGTTTTATGTTCTCCTACCTGGTAATTGAAAAAGAAAATTCTGACAACCCTTGTGAACTTTGTATTTTGTGAGTTCACTGCAAACGATGTTCTGAGCATGAGTTAGTGATGTTTATGTAATATGAAAATAGGAACAAATTGTGGCAACACAAGACAAAGCTGAGGTTGATCGTATTCTTGCAAATGTTGCAATGTGTAGGAAGACACTACAAGTTCTTGGAGATCCAGATTTTATGGTTGATGAATTCTTCTTCGTAAGTTTTGTAACTCCTGATTTTTACTTATATTTAATTTAATTTTTGCAGTGTGATCTATGCATGTTTCTAGTTAGTTTACTGAACCAACACAAATGCTGGTAACTGATGCTAGATGTATTCCTGTTAATTCTCTCAGATTAAATAGAGCATGTAAAAATGTTTAGATCTCCCTTTCTGATTTATCCTCCAATTCAATGTGCCTATATCATTGTGTAGATGAACAATACGAGTCTTTTAAGTCAGAGAAACTGCTTGAACTTTCTCATTAAAGAATTTGGGGATAATATGTACTTCTCTAGGAGTCTTCTACCAAACATTCATAGCTAGAAGATTACAACTCTTTGATATCACTGCATGTATCATTTGATATGTGTCAGGACCAAGAATCGAATGAACATTTTCTTGTTTCTTTGATGAACAACTTTCCAAAACTAAAGAAAGAAGCACAAGCAAGCCCTCATTTGTAAATTAGAAAGCAGCCATTTTAGGACTTTATTCATTATTATGCACTGCTGTTGTTTTATGGTGTTTTAGATGATATATTGGTTCTTTTCATTTTACCATATTAATGTTCCACCCGAGATTATCAATTACAACAAGGTGATTTCTTCTTTGAAGTATAAGCCTCCACCTAGGCAGTATCTTGAGCTCATAACCAATGGGGTTCTTTAACATGTTACTATGTATTTGCTTTTCACAAATACTAGACTGCTGATCATAGAGCATTTCTTTCTTGTTTATCTGTAATGTGATATATAATATAGTTGTCGATGTCAGTAAACTTACTCTTTAATCTAATTTTGCGTTCACTCGAATACAGTAGGAAAGTTCAAATGAAGCATAAATTCCCTGATGGAGGACATTGGAAAAGGTAGCCCAGCCCAGTCAGCCAAGGAATTAGGCTTTTGATGGACGTGATTGTTCAATACAATCCTTGGTTCCTTGGTCTATTTTTTGGTGTAAGCAGTAGTTAGATATCCCCAATAGTTGGGACGTTATGACTTGTTCTTTCATTGTAAGCAATTAATAGATTGCTCCATTGAAAGCCTAGCGTATCACTAGTTTCGATTGTGCAGAATACCCTCAGCATCCATAGGCATATGCAAAGCAGTCAAGCTAGTTGATTGGTCCAGCTAGCTGACCGAGAATGAATAATAAATTAGGCCACGACTTCAGGCAATGGCTTGGGTTTGAGATTTTAGGTCCAAGAAATTCTTTTGATAATATTTCTAGATCCTACATCCATTTTAGCTGACTTTCATATATAAACATAATATAGCGTCATCTGGCCATACACTATATTCTATGTATGATTTAATTAGGTTTGAATTGAGTGCTGCTTAGGTTTAGTTCTGAATTTTTTATGCTTAGGTTTAGCATGTCTATGTATTATTTGTTTTTTTTTCTCTCATTTCTTCTACCTTTGCCGTTTCTGCTCTCTGGATGTGATCAACAGCAGACATGCTCATCTTTGCCTACCTATGAAATCCCAATCAGCTCTCTACTGATTGGTTTCGCCCTTCTCAGAGTTTTATTCAGACTGATATAGTATCGAGATACTGGGTGATTGAGAAAATAATAATAATTACCAGTTGGTATGAAATGGCCTAACTGACATATGGAACTGTGGCTTCAATTGTGAAATTATCTGAACACTTTTTGTGAGGTAACTAACTAGAGACCATCTTGCTTTACTGGTGACCAATCACTTTCAGTGGATCCATATCCTCTGGCATGTTGTAAGAATTTTTTAATTGGCTTCAGTATTTACTCTTTAAGGTATATCTATTATGAACATATAGGAGTACTTCTTGGTGGATTTTGAACAAAGAACCCCCTTCTACTACATATTGTTGGATCATATACTGCTTCCTGCTGAAATTCTCATTGTGAAATTTGTTTCGATAAGGACTAAAAAAAGGTCTGCTTCGGTGAAGATAATTTTCTGATAGTTATGAGTATTATCTCAGATGTTCATTAGCCTGCTGGAAAATGTTCTGAACGAAAGCTGTCCTCCAATAAGGTAGGATTTCAATTGCAAGTGTCTTGTATTTGCCACCAAGAAACAACATATATTTTTCTGAAAATAACTTTTGAGTTTTCTGCCATTCAATGTCATAACATGCACATTTTGCATTGACAGTCATGAGGAGCTTCTGCAGATAAGCCGTGATGAATCGTTCTCAGATAACCGTAAGAAATTTGCTCCAGACTGTTTGTCCTTTTCTGTAACATAACTCTTTATCTTCTAAGCAAGTTTTCTGGCAGTTGTTTTGTTCTTCAGAATTGTTGCGTCTGGTGAAATACGCAGAAGAGCAGCATTTTTTGAACCATTTATTATTGGCTTAGAGAATACAAGCGTAGACCAGGTTATTTGTGACTTCTCATCCTCGTTACATGCATGTTTGGTTGCATCCGAAGGTCAGATTGCTTAATGTACAACCAATATGTATTTTTGGTCGTAGACTTTTTTGTGTTAGGCTAGTATCATGCAGTTGCGTGTGTCATCGAATGTATTCCACTTTTGCAGTGTCCAACTTGTTGGTGAATAATTTCTTATCCATCTATTGTGTCTTGCTTACAGTTCTGCAAGGAGTCGGTGGAGATGTTGGGGGAGGAAAGCAACCATGTTCAGATCGTAGCTTTATCTGATGCTTTGGGTGTGCCTATAAGCGTGGAGTATCTTGACCAGAACTCGTCCGACGGAGGTGCTCTTACTCCAAGTGACGTTGTGACTAATGGGAGCAATCCAAGTAGGACGTATCTGTCATCGACACCGCGGGTGAAGTTGCTGTGTCATCTTGGCCACTACGATGTTCTGTACCCCAATTGCCAGTAGTGTTTAATTTCTTACAGGCTTGGTATGTTCTCTAACTGCATAACTTTCTTAACATCCCTTGGTTTCCATCGATTGACTTGCACTTGCCATTTTTTGTGAGTTGCAGATTGCTTATCGTGGCAAATCGCGAGGCGCTTGCCATTCCAAATGTATCAAAACATTTGTAGCAAGCGAGTCTTTTGGGCGACTACTCGTAAATGATAATCCACATCCAACATTCACGCACAGACATGCCTTGCATGCATTCTCAACACTTGTTTTTGCAATGAGCTCTTCACAACGTTTTTTTTCCCCTAATTGCAACTGAATTTCTCGAAGTTATTAGAACTATAAAGCCGCTGTTAAATGATTGTGTGCAGGCACATTGATTGATCAGAAAGTTGAAATTCTGCAACAAGCCAAAATTTACATCTAAAATCTCGTCATCATTTAAATATCTCTTATTCAAATTTTATTTAATTTGTTTGGAATTTGTTTTTGACACTAGGAATAAAACGAGTTAAACATGCCAATTCAGGCTATTTTTAAAAGAGTATGAAATTTTATCTAATTCAATTTGGTTCTTGTTGAGATGTTCATTGTAATGAGCAGTATAATGAGTAAGATTTGGATTAAAAAAAAAATTCAAGAACGAGCTGGTTACCTTATTTTCTCAAAAATAGGAGCCTTTAACCTTTTTCACTTATTTCACATTTTAAAATATCGTTGTGCCAAATTAAACTGATTGAAGAACAGAATCGTACTCAAGCTTTTTATACTAGGAGTTTATGATGGATAAATTCAAATTGACTCAATTTTGAATTTGTTTATTTAAAGTTTACCCACAGAATCTGATTATTATTTAGTCTCCCATTCAAATTTTATCCAATTTGATCTTCTGCGTGTGAATTTTTGGAAAGTTTTTATCACTAGATCCGTCAAAGACAAACCCGGTGCTGAAAGTACCAATAAGAGCACGAGGTTTTTGGAGGTTTTCCTGTGTCGGTGGACGCAGGGAGCACTGCCAGGTCTCCCATTTCACAGTGATGGTGTCACTACAGGATCGCCAGCCAAGAAAATTCATGAAAGAAAATCATAACTTTGGGGTTTTTCTTGTCTAGCTTCATAAGTTTGAAAATATTTTATAAAATATTTTTTTTTTCTAAAAATTTGATTATTTTATCTCTATTAGTTTTCACCCTCCATCCATGTCTTTATGTGCAAGCTGATAAACAATACAGTTGTCTTTTTTTTTTTTCTCTTGATCACTTGTGTCTTTTTACATAGGTTGACAGGCAATGTCGATCACCTTCTCTCTCCTTCCTTAATCGCTTATGCTTTTATAGGTTGACAACACCGATCGCTCCTTCTCCTCTAGTTGCCTATGCCTCCGTACGAGAGTTGATGGGCGGGCGAGGATCAACAGGATAAGCGGCTAAGTGTGAGGAGGTACAATTAAGAGTTGAGGCTATGATAAATGTTTTTTAAAATTATAGAGTTAAAATGATTTTTTTTATATACACACGATAGTAGTACTCTGTCAGAATTTGTTTGGTTACAGAGAAAAAAACCCGAAGTTCACAACTTTTTCCGGGAAGTCCCCAAGGATATTTATATGCAATTTATCCAATAAAAGATACTTTCAGACTTTCAGTAGAATACTCTCACTGTCTTCTGTCCAAGGCACCAGTCTCCACCGATGCTCTCGTCGGTCTAAAAGCCAACCGCCTGAGGCGGCGGCGGCTGGCGGCAGAGGTAATGCGACACACGATCGAGGATGAGGCAGCTGGAATCCGCGAGACGGATCGGGGTAACCCGGTGCCTGTCTTAGCAAGGAGCAAGTCGGAACCCTAGGGAAGATCCCTTCTTCGTCCGACAGCGGAAAAATTCAGCAGGATCGAGGTCTGTCAGTAAGGACGATAGGAGGTGGTTTGGAGGTGATTAATGCACGTCGGCCCGCCTCCCCGCGGCTCGGATCTGGCCGCCCGCGGCATGGCGGCGGATGCGGAATCGCCAAGAGTGTTCGAGGCCTGGAAGGGAAGCAACGTAAGTGTTGTTGATCTATGTCCTCAAACTTTCATCGACGCCTCCGTCCAGCTGGATTGGTGGAATGGCTGCGACTTGCTTATTGGGCAAATTCGGCTTTGATTGCGTGATTCGTGTCTAGGAGAGATCGGAAAGTTAAAAGTTTCTGAAGTTTTCTTATATTGTTTCTTCAAATCGTCTGGCGTTCATGCGTGAGTGTGCAAGTGTGTGTTATTGGATATGAATTTGATGTGTCAAGTGAATTACCTTTTCCAATCTTCACCTTGTGTGCAGTATAAAGTTCTCAACTTTCAGCTTATTTTTCCTTATCGAATGAATCCGAACTGCATTGTATGTTGGGCTTGATTCTTTTGCTAATTATATTTAGCTACTGGCTTCCTTGTTATCCACTGAATGTAGAGTTCCGTTGCTGTGTTTGATTTTATCCAAAAAATGTCATAAGCTCATAACATGTGTAGATTAGTTTTACCTTGAAGCCGACGGAGAACAATGTTCAGAAGTCTTTAACTCATTATTCTGCACTGCATTTACATTTGAAAAAAATAAAGGTTTATACTGATCCATACAAGACAGTTATTTGCATGCACTATTGTTCATAATAAAATGTAAGAGTACTGTGAGACCTATTTTAGGCTTGTCATATCCATTTAGTTTCCTGTTCTGTGTAAATTGAATTATTATGTCATTTGTTAGTAAATCATTTTGTATTTATGGTGCATTAGTTCCCTGTATGGAGAACTTTTGAAATTGAAACAAAGAACTCGTTGAATAAATTGCTATACTAAAGATGTAGTCATTGTCTTTACAATCAAGACAACCTTGAAAGTACCTTTTGTTAACTTTTGGCATCCTTCTTTGTAATTATTTTGTACATGTATGTGCAGTAGAACTTATGAGGATGTGAAATGCTCGAGATTTTATGTCAGGCTAAAAACGGCTTAGTTGTTGGTCGGCCTTGTTCTACTTGAGAGCATAATTTTACCTGTTTAACACCTGCAATAATACTAGGAAGTTTCTGCATGTACTGCATTTGGATTGAATATTAAAGTTTTTATATTAAATAAGTCAACTGTAGAACCTACTAAGAGTCTTGGCATTCCATGTAGTGAGTGAGTACTAGCTTACATTGATTCAGTTTCATGCATAATTTTCTGATTGCTCTACCTTTCCTATTAGTGAGATGAATGGATTGTTTTTACTCTTTGTTTTCAATGCTTTTATGACAATCATGCAGAAAATTCTTTTTTTAGAAGTTGAACACTTGGTTCCTTCATTGACATCTTTGCCATATCTTGTGCAGATTTTTTTTCTTCAAGGGAGATTTATATTTGGTCCTGATGTGAGATCATTGTTTCTCACCATATTCCTGATTGTTGCACCTGTTTCAATCTTCTGCGTGTTTGTTGCCAGAAAACTAATGGATGAATTTTCCAGTACTCTGGGTATACCAGTGATGGTAATAGCTGTCCTGTTCACTTTATATGTAAGTACTTCATTATCCTTGTCCCCTTATCATGGCTTTTTTCCTTTGGTATTTAGATGCTCCATTTTGGTTGCTGCTTCTATAGTATCCTATAGAGATATTGAACATTGGAACATTAAAACAAAGGATATGGCATCCCTAAAACTCCTACAAATATGGAAAGCTTGCTAATAATTTGGATTTATTTTTCCAAATTTTAGCCATAAACTACACTTGTTGCTCTTCGCTCTCTACTCTCTGAACCATAAAATTCTGATTTGGATCTCATGACCTCGATAGAAGTTTTTACTGAAGATACAAGCTTCCAATTTTCCTTGTTTATAAGTGCTATAGTAAGCATGTTTGTCATTTATAATTCAAGCACGAAGAAAAGGGAGTTTCTAATTCATTAGCTTCTTCCAGATGATTAGTTAAGTCATTTTGCAAGTATCCTTGTCGGCTTCAAGTTCCCATGCATAAGAGGGTTTCTGGATTTTTGTTCTTTTACTTTTCTTTTCCGTTTTTCCGTGTTAAGACATCCTTATCCCAGTCCACTATCATAAGTGTGATGTATGTTTGTTGCTAACTACTAGTTGAAGTACAAATTCAATAGTTGCTCAAACTAATGGATTAATCTCCATAATTCAATGCTATTTGTTATATGAAGATTCTTCTACCTATGATTTTCTTATTACCTACTAACTGACCTATATAGTGACCCCTATATTGATTACATATTGAAAAAGTATCATTTGACAAGGTTGGTATCAGTGATTTACAAAGCGCTAGGCGCTAAATGGCGCCAAAGTCCAAAAACGCTCGAGGCGCTAGGCGCTTACCTGAGCGAAGTGAGACGTTAAAATATAAAAATATATAATATAATTAATAAATATAATTATTTAAATAATAATACGATATTAAATTAAGAAAATCTATAGTACAAAGTCACAATGCCACATTAACAAAAAAGCCTCAAAATTCAAAACAAAAAAATTTTACATCAAAATCATTCATCTTAGTCAATATTATTATCATTTTCAAACAAATCATCTTCATTGAGTTCGTCATCTTCCTCTTGTCCTTCCTCTTCATCAAAATATATTTCATTCTTTATGTCTTCAACAATGGAAGGAGTCAAGCTTGATGTTGTTGTATTCATTTTTCTCTTTGTCATATGTCTTGTATATGTTTGTAATTCTCCAACACCTGAAGCTCTTGTCATATCTCCCCATGTCAATCTAACATCTTCAAATACAAGATCGCCTTCGACATCTTACAAGTTGGCACTCATTTTGCCCACCAACCGCTCATTTAAATCATCAATATCTTGTGATGAGATTGGATTAATTCTATTTCGCAAATCATGACGAGCCTTCAAAGCTTGATTATACTTTATGTAAACAAGATCGTGTAATCGTTGATGTTCCAATTGATTTATTCTCTTTAAGTGAATCTGTCATATCATATAATTTAAAAATATATTAATACATATATCTAAATAAATAAATTAATTGAAACAAAAATATTTAGTGATCCTTACATGTTCAAAGACACTCCAGTTTCGCTTACAACCTGAAGCACTACATGTCAAACTAAGTATTTTGATAGCAAATTGCTGCAAGTTTAGGGTGGAATTTCTAAATAGACTTCATCATTCAACTACAAAATTTATGTTATTATTAGCAATAACATAGCAACATACTATAGATGAAATTAATTATATCAAATTATTAATACC